GGTTCATCAGTCTGAGATATGACTTGTGTTCGATCATGCAGTCAACTCGTCTGGACGTCTACACCAAACGCCATTATTGCATACACCTGACCTTAACAGTTTCAACTGCGACTCCTGAACGTTTCGTATCGTCTAATAGTATGGTTTGGGATATAAAGCGAAAAGAAACAACCGCATTTTTCCCCTTCTGAAGGCTTTTATTGCATCACTATTGCAGACAATTGTACAAATGGCTGCGTACTCTAAATCGCATCCTCTTAAGAACTTGGATAATAGACGGGGGTTGAATCCTCGAGAGGAAGCATCCCCTGACTAGTAATAAGATGTCACCTCTTAAATAAAGATTCTTGACAAAGTGGCAAAGCCTGTGTGACCATTGCCCAATGGTAACCCTGTTCCGGTGCAAGGACCGATTCTTACTTCCACGTTCACCCTTCCCGCCGGTACGTGATGGCAGTGACCTTCAATGTGACCGTGCTCGTGTTTGTTGAGATTTCCAGCGTGGGCCTGGTACAGAGCGCCATCTATTGCCCCAGGAGTACTGCACTCGACGCCGTTAAATGTGAAATACCACCGAGTACAACAGTGATGACATCCAGAGATTCTGATATTTCCAGAGTAGTATACAGGAAGGCCTGTGTCATGGGCTTGTTTCTGGAACTCACAGGCCTGTTAAGAGAGCCATTGATCAAACATCAAGCCTGCATAAATGTTGCAAATGAAGGTTGTCAGTAGTACAATACCTTCATGCACCAATGCCAAAAGTTAAATTCAATCAAAAAATTTCTCATTTCCTTTTCAAAGTTATAATGAAAAACAAACTAGTGCAAAACTCGCTCCGTTGGCTCTATTCGTTAATCCCTCGACAGAGTTTCCAATGCTTGTGTTACCAAAAATTTTTACTCCTGTACCTTCCTTTCAAATGAAAAATTATGCAACTCGAGAATAACAATAAAAAAATACCAGTTCATCACTCTTAAATTATCCCTGGGACACTGATATGGAAAGGAAAGGTAAGAGCCAATCAGGACAGAAGCATAATCAAACATTTCTTTGCGGCCAGTCTTGTCTCTTAGAGACTACACCGGAAATTACTGATCGTCCAGTGTTTGTAGTTTTGCAGAACATGTTTCGGCGATATTCAATGATGTGGTTACTGGCTTGGCTAGTAGCGCTCTATCATCGTCCTAGTAAGCCTGTATGTAAATATAAGTAGTCCGAGACTTTTCGGGAGGTTTCAATAACAAAAACACTTCGGGATTTATTTGAGTTCTTTCAATCGATTATCACATTATACGCGGGAATTTTAGTCTAAAAATAGAACTTCTTATAGTTAATGGTTGTATTAGAAGAAACTGAGTCCATTTTCCCGACACACTTGAGTCGACTACGTCTTTTATTCCGTATTAGCTAAC